TCTAGAAAAATACGACCCCCCCCCCCCCCTGTTAGACGTCTTCATAACAATACGAATAATTTTATTTCTCGGAAATTCCACGCGTATAAGGGACGCCAAGGAGAAGAACTTCGGTTAAAGAAAGGACGAGTGGTTTCCGGCGAACGAGTTCCGTTCCCGGGCCATTTGCCCATTTCGAAGTCCGGGTAACACGCGTCCGGAAACGGTAACCATTTCGCTGCGGCGACCAGAAGAGACCAGAGAGGTTCTACCCGCAGTGACCTTCGCTTCACATGCGTCCGCGCTTTTATAACTCGCTTTCGCGTGCCTCGATCGCGCAAAAGTAGATTTATTTTCGCGGCCGCGGTGTTGTTTTCACGACGAGACCGCAACTGACCAAATATTGCCCCTGAGATATACATATGTGCATTTATACAGGGTGTCCCATTTAAATCTATCCGCTCGAATATCTCTGAAATTATTTGTGATACTGGAAAGTGTTTCAAAAGAAAAGGATTATTAATCTATTTATATCGAGAAACCATAGTGATATAATATTTACCATCATACGTCGCATGTAAGTTCGAAATTAAAATATCTCCTAAACTAATGGTTTCTCGACATAAATAGTCTAGGTTAATAATTTTTTACAGGGAATGACCAGCTGCATCGATCAATTCAAAATAAAGTTGACCTTCGTATGTCCTCTACGCCTCCACTTACAAAAAAATTATTGACATCAAATTATTCCTCGATACCATTTAACTTTTGCTTGAGACACTTTTCGGTATTACAAGTAATTTCAGAGATGTTCGAAGGGATCGATTTAAATGGGACACCCTTTATACACCGGTGAGGAATTTTTGGTAGGGGGTTGGCTGGTTCGATCGAATCAACTTTGTAGCGGAGCTAACTTGTTTGCGCAACGAATTACACGTATCGTCGAAGCGAAGTTTGTTTTTCGGTTTTTTCTTCTGTTTTGTTTTTTCCCGAGCGTATCGTTTCGATGCTTCGAAGGCCAAGTAGCGACGCGAGACGAGGGAGGCTCGATCGTGACCACAGCGTGTATATATATATAGAGAGAGAGAGAGATACAGAATTGTTAATTAATGAGACCGTGTGATAGCCCCGTGACACGTGGGAAATCTCTGGGCCGAGTTGCAGCTACTACGGGATGCATGGAATTTTTCATGGAAGGACCGAAATCTTTTTAATACACGGAAGTGCATCGCGTATTCGGGGGGATGGGAGTGGAGCTGCGTTTTAATTGGAGTCTGTAAGACCAACACGATTCATTAACCCGTTAACTGGAGTTCTCTTGTTCGTTTTTTTCTTATATTCTTTACCAGTGTCTAGATCTTATTGTATTAGAATGTTTCTTGACTCGACTGGAAAGCAAATTTTATTTACTTATAATATGTACTTAATACTATTAAGATTAATTATTAATTTTCGTCGAATTAAGTTTCAACGATCCGAGTTTATTAATCGATTAAAGTAAGTACAGTAAAGGCTCCATGAGAGTTGGATAGGAAGTTCCCCGTAAGAGTTTCAACTTTATCCCGAACACTGGGCGAGGTAAAGGAGGTGGAACTGCAAAGTGCATAGTTTCACCCTGATGATCCCGAGTTTCAAACTCTCATAGAGCTTTTACTGTACAGGTAATTCTATTGATTAGACATTCAACATTTGTGTCGCAGTCACAAGATCTAGAATCAGAAACCTAAATTAATCGGGACATGTATATTTTATATAAAAAAAAACAATTGTACGAAAACATGACAATTTAAAGCATTTTATTTCTACCGTGTCATAAATATATATTTTGCGAGGTAGCTGGCCGTGACAATTCTTCTCCAGTGGTTTCACCATGGGAGGGCATATCTCTTTGTCGCTTCTAATCCAAAGTTTCGCCCGTTAATACCGATTATACGTACACGAGCTCCTGGATAGATTTATGGCCCCAGTGTGCTCGTGTACCAAAACAAACACACCGCTCGTATGAATGCAAGCATCATTGACCACCGACGCTACTCGTTGACTCTGAACGAGGTAATACAGCCATTTACAACTAGACACGCGCGGTTAAATACCCGTCTCAATCCTTTCTGCTTTATACGATCGTTTTGCATTAACTGAACAAATTTTCCATATGTATGCATTACATAAAAAAAATTATGTATAAGGTGATTTGCAGTTGGTGTTATAAAATTCGATCCCAAAACGATTGGCTGCCGAGCCACGAGTGTTGTAATCGTTTGAAACTTGACGTATCGTTTCACAGCGAACATTCAATATGGCCGCCATTGGGGAAAGCTTACGCGTCTCTATGCGCCACATCATTGATTATAGCCTGACGTAGAACTCGGATACTATCAGCTGATTTTGTTTATGCTTCCATAATCTGTTTTTACGCGTCGTCGTAATTCTCGACTGTTTCGCAACGATACAGACTTACTTTGAATTTCAGACAATTTTAGGTTATGTTCGTTTGGGTATATTTGTTGCTTCCGTTTCGAAGCATCGATAATGAATTCGACTGCATACCTACATTGCAGATGCTTGTATAATATTACATTTCCGCGTCTACAAGTTTTCTTACAAATTACATTCAAATAGTTTAGAAGTTATTCTACAAATTTTCACTAGCAGTTACCGAGACCCTAAGCTCCGTAAAATACTGCTTGCAAAAGGTAAGAGTGTTTTCTGTAGAAACTGGGCCGAACAAGTTTGACTTCGGAGCTGCAATCTCTCGTCGGCAATTAAGACCTGTCTTTGTTGACATTACCACGAAGTATTGGAAATTGGGGACAATCGCGATAACCCTGGCCTCCTTCGGTGAACAGCTTTTTAGCGCAGAACAACGTTTGCCCGTAGGGAAAATGCTTCGAACATGATCAGACTTCTATGTTTCACGGGTGAAAAAGTGTGGCTTCAACTTGTCCAATAAAAGAAAATAATAATACACGGTATATATCTATAGCTTAGATTAACACCTTCAATCGCTGAAAGAGTATTCGAGGTACCCATCTACTAGAGTCCACATCTACTGGAATTAATTACAGTAGCACGTATGTGTACGTTTAATTTTTCTTTCATTCAAGCATCATTCCGAAACTGTACTTAAATATTCACTAGGAATTCCCCAACAAAAATAGAAACTCTACCAATTCATTTCCATTAGTATCTATAAATATATTTTAATTAAATACAACCGAAGAATAAAAAAAATATTCTTTCCAGTCTTAATAAATTCGTTCCCAAAGAGATTAATGGGCTACATGGGCGTAGCCAGACCCGGCAGGACGGAAAAAAGTGGCTTTTACCTCACCTTACAAGAAAAAAAATTGGATTTTGCCCCCGCCCCTCCCTTCCCAGAGTTATCAAATTTTTGCGTAATATTTAATATTGCAGTATAATTTAAAACACCTTTTTCACTGTGGAAGTCGACGTGTTAATGTTTTTGCCCCCCAACTGATAACCTGGCTACGCCCATGATGGGCTAATGCGAAACCTTGTTGCGTGTAATCGTAATCAATAACCGACAAAAGGGCTCGATTACGCTCACGTTAATTCCATAAACTCGTCGCTTCGTTTACGCCAGTGCCACGCTCCAATTTCGGAGCGTTTATCAAAACCAATTTCGCGCGGCCGGCGAATAAATGCATTCGCACGCGCGTCCTCTGGGTGGAAGCACCGAGATTATCTGGCACGCTGATAACCGTGCCCCGCCTTTGTTATCCGACGAAATTATGGTCGAACGAGAGAAGCCGGGCAAACACCGCGTCCGGCCGGTGTTAAATTATGCCTGCCTGGCCCTCTCGGTGTAATTTGACACGGTGCGTCTAATTCACCGTTGTTTCGATGCAATTTCACGCGGGACGCCCGATTGCGCCCGCGTTAGTTTATTTTAATCCCTGTCCCGTGCACCGGGTAAATTGAATGCTTTGTAATCTCTGTCCCTAAACCGTTTCAGTTTGTATCGAATAATGGTGTCGTCGCCCGTCCATTTCGCGTTTACGGATAATCCGAAGATTTTCTCGCGAAATTTCAACTGGATCACTCGTACAGAGTTCAAATTGGAGCAATGAGCATTTTCATTGGGGCAATAGAGACGCTACGCTGTCGAGAAACCAATATGGCCACCAAAAATCCAACATGGCCGCCGAAAAATTCAATATGGCTACCGAAAAATCCAATATGGCCACCGAAGAATCTAGTACGGGTTACCATTGGCAGCCATACAAGCTGGAACTTTCTGCACAATAAATATGCGGAAAAGGTGTCCATAAACTTAAGATAATTTCACGACACGTTTCTCCTATCTCTTTCGTTAACATATTACCTAACCGCAATTCACGTTATATTATAACATTAATTAACACTAGAACTACCAAACCAGTCAAAATGACTGGTCAATACACATATAACGACATTTTCTCAGATTTTTTGCACCTTTTATTACGACATAAGAGTGAAGAAATAACTCAATTTCTAAATTTCCAAATTTTCAAATGTTTTCCACGTTTATCCAGCGATCGAAGCAAATATGCGTTTATCGTCGGTAGTTCTAGTGTTAAGAATATCTCCGAAAACACTGGTATATTTTCCCACGATGATCTTGAATTACCGATACATTGAACAGATCACAGATGAAATCATAAGATTACAGTACGAGTGTCACCTGCGTAAAACTTTGTCGAGCTCGAAACGCGTGAAATCCTTGTTTCGCGATCCCTATTGAGGCTCAGACAGACAGATAAGTACTTAGATAGATAGATGATCATAGCCCTGGGATACATATGCGTGCAGTATCCGGCTCCGTATTGCGTCCAGACAGTGTACGAGGATAGGGTAGCCCGCGGTGATAGGTATATATGAGGACAGGTATATGACGGGGCCCGTGTCACGTGCACGGACAGGTATATACCGACCATAAGCAGTTTCGTAATTTAATGCGGCCTTATTAGCGGAATGAAGGGGCACCACGAGATCTAACCGACGGCTGTTCTTGATTCCAGCAACTCTCCTTTCCATCCACGCAATCCAGCCATGGATCGGCGGGCTTCACATTCAGCCTTTCCGGCAACCAGGACATCGAGGGTCCTCAGGGTGGCTTCGAGTGCATCCAACAGACCGGCCCCAAGTGAGTCACACGTTTCCAGTTCGCCTTTCAGCGTGTCTATCCCCCCTTATCTTTCGTTTTCTTCTTGAACGCCTCTCCTCTCACGCGAGTCTGCTGCGTGTTATCTTGCCGGGTGGTCGAGTTTTTCCTTTTCATTTTTGGGGTTCCTTTAACCCTCCTGCTGCTCTGTTCGGGTCAGTTTGCCAGGAACATTCATCTTTTTGTAACACCTCTCGGATGTTTTTTCACGTTTGAGTCAGTTTTATGCACTTGATTTTTTAACAGACCTCCCTTTTACGTAATCTTAATAATTCTGATGTATAGACTACGGATGGTCTTGACTACACCTAATTTCATAGAAACTGGAAGGTTCGTTGAAGAGTCTGATGCGTTAATGATACTTAGTTTTGGACAATTGTGTGCGCTGTAACATTGAATAACATCCGAAGTCTGTTAACGGAAATTAGACTGCGAATTATTCGTGTGCGAAGTGACATTTTTTTAAGCGATTCATAAAGGTAAGAACAAAAGTAGGAAATTCCTTCTTCCCTTGTATAAAGTAGAAAACTCGTTGTGTCTTTTATCGTATTTCACAAAGCCCCATAGGCTATAAGCGCATAAAATCTGCAGTCTAATAATAAAACAAACACCCCGAAATTATCGATTTTCTGGGTCCTCACGGAACCTCCCACGAAACGACACCGCGATCGCAGTGTTTCAGCCGACGACCTCTTTATCGGTCGTTTCTTTATCGCCGTAATTTTTCCCTGCGCAGGAGCCTGGAGAGCCTTGGCGCATTGCCGTGTAAAATGCGGATACAGGCGAACGACGACGTGTACGAGACAACCAGGCATCGTATGGCCGTCGCCGAGGAGAATAACAAGAACAAATGGTAAGTCAACGTCACAACAGCATTCCTGTTTTTGCGCTGTAAAGGTGTTCGGCTAATGATTGCGAAACATTTGAATTGTATCGATATTTTCTGTCGATACGTATTGATTACCCAGAGCAGAGTTGGGTACAATTTTATTCAAATAACACATAATGAAACAGGATCGTCATTCTGGCCTTAAACAGTTATACAAATGAGATGAAATAATTATTTTTCAAGTATTTATTTATTTCAAGAGGAAATATTATTTTATTATAAAAATTAGAATTCGAAATTGGCGAAGTACTTTTTTTTTTTATCTTTCATTCGTTATCCGAAACTCTTTATCTAGATAATGAGTTTGCCATTTGAAAATTGTTTTTTTTTCAAAATTGAAAATAAACCATTTGTCTGAGCAGATATTCACTGAGGCAGATTCTCAGATGACATTGTGAAGAAGAAATCGATCAATCGCAAACTTCATGGGAAACTCGCGATTAGGTCCATTTTCCTTACGGATCTGTTACGTTACGGAAAATCCAGCGGTTATGTCGAAATTTCGGATATTTGTGGATTAAGTATCTATACTACTGGAATACATCGTCACATTAAATATCGATATCCGAAATATCGATATTTGAATGGAAAAGTATCGATATTTGAATTGAAAAGTACGGATATTCGAAATATTTATATATGGATTGGAAACTGTCGACATTTGAATTGAAAAGTATCGATATTTGAATTGAAAAGTATCGACATTTGAATTGAAAAGTATCGATACTTGAATTGAAAAGTATCGACATTTGAATTGAAAAGTATCGATATTTGAATTGAAAAGTATGGATATTCCGTATCGATATTTGAATTGAAAAGTTGGACGCCCGTGACTATGTTCGGTCGAACGTATAGCGGTCTCATCGATCCCCTGGAGGGCCAGCACGATTTTTCTTCCGTGACTCGGAGTCGTCGCCGACCCCCAACGCGGTTGTTCGTTCTATTTCGAGCATCGTTGGGTGTCATATTCGTGTGTGCACGCGTGTATTACCATCTTCGTAAACAAATCGAAGCAGCCAGCCCCTTCTGCTATTTAATTTGCCTACCGTTCAACGAGGCGCATCCACGGCCGTGATCCTTCGATAATTTAAATGTCAGATTTTCCGGTTACACATCCTCGCCACTTCGTTTAATTCGCGTATGCCCTGTACAGTCGCACGATCAGTGGCTCCGATCGTTAATTTACCACTGGTTCCCGTTGACACGGATCTGCGTCATAAGCAGGAGCTTAGCGCCATAGAGAAAAAAGAAAATCGAGCGCCAACGTGTTGACTAGCGTTATCGTATTCTTTCCGATCGAACGTCGTCTGACGACGTATAAGGAGAGTATAAATACGTAAGATATATGCCCAGACAAGTGTCTACTTGAGGATATAGTGATTTCAGTTTATATAAAATGAATCGTGACAGATTTCTTTCAGTAGTATTATCTCGACGTGCATTATGAAAAGTAACATGTCTCATTTATCTTACAAAGACTAGCACTTTCAACTTTGTGACCACGAAAAGCAGCACTAGTCGATTTCGATCTCGAAAAGTAGCATATTTTCATTTATAGCGATGAAGAATAGCGTTTTGTGCTTTTTCGCTACGGAAACTATCGCGGAACGTAGCACGTTTCACTTCTAGCTGCGAAAAACATCACATTAGATAGGTTGCCCAGCATTTATGTCAACTGTACGTGAGTTGAACTGTGCTAGTCTTCGTAGAACACACGAAACGTGTTGTGGACTCTAACTATATTGCCACTGAATATATTGCTATGCGAAGCACTTCCCCTTCACACGTACTTTCTCGCACACGGATTCGCTCTCCCACCACGTTACGTACGCCGGCGCACCAGCACGATCCAGCTTCTGCGCAGGCGCAGACCAAGGCTATGACGATAGAACTTAGCATGGAGGGGGCTCTGAACTCATTGCCGTTTTACTCCCCTACAGCCCCGAGCATTGCAATATAGTTAGACTCCGCTGTACTTTTCGAAATACGCTATTATTCGTGGCAAACTTCGAAACGTGCTCGCTATCACGATGAATGTCAAACATGCTAATTATCGGTGGAAACGAAACGTGCTTCTTCTCGTGATAAATCGAAACATGCCAGTCTTCGTACGACAAATGAAACGTGCTAATTTTCGTAACGCAGGTCGATTTTATCAAGTGTTTCCGAACGAGAAATCAACGAAGAAACACACCGTTGAATTTTTCTTATCTCGACGGTTGTTCGGTGTATTACAGTACGGGATCTCGACCAATTACTGCAACCATGGCGCAAAAATACGCTGTTCCAGCTTTACTCGCGGGCGTATTTATAATTAACCCCCCCGGTGTCAGTCTCCAGGTCGTAGCCACGGGCTTCCGTCCCCTCGCTCGTATAATAATAAGTGTATGTAGAACTGTTCCGAGCCGCATTAAGCTCGGTTGAATTATTAAGGCGCCACGTTTTCTGCATTTTATCGTCGTTACGTCTGCCATCAGTCTCTCTCGTCTCTCGCGTCCAACTACAATTACGAATTTTCGTTTAATTAATATTTCAATTATGAGTTCTGTCACATGGATCGTGCAAATACTAGGGTGATTTTAATATTTGATACATATACATAATTATTTATATTTTTTTACAGTGCCGGCGATTTTCGCCCTCCCCAGAATCCCCAAATTGATAAACTGAGATCTCGCGACATAATTAGTCGCCACTATATCTGCTTTTCCGAGACTAGCACTGCTTTTTCCGGTTTGCAAATACCTCTGAAATGGACGAACAAAATAGACCGATACGTGGATATTTATGATTCAATATTCATGAAGTACCTTAATACATATATTTGTAGTTGTCAGGAGAAACGTCGCATGTCATTCGTTTTCACTTTCGAGATATTGTCGTTTAAAGTTCTGGACACCATTTCGTCTTATTTATTAGACATGTATCCTTGTTTTTCTTTTACGATATAAATGTATATTTCCTTTACTTTGCATAATATTCTTCTAGGCATTGCGTTGTTTTTTGTAAAATACAAGCTACATATGCATTTACCAATCGTATGTAAGTGTCCTATTTCTAGTGAAAGAAAAACATGGAGTATAATTTTATTGTTTCTATTTTACACTAAAAATAAATTAACGATCACAAACACACGCGTAATCGTCGTATTTTCGAAAGTTTGTGGACTTACGTTGTTTTATCTAATGCACAGCAACTGAATATTGGACTTCGGTTAAAATGCATTACTTTCTTTAAATATACAAAATTTCTCTTCATACATTTTTTTTTATAAATATATAAATCCTGCTCGATTAATGCACAAAGTCCAATTTTTTGATATAGTTTCTCCTTACAGCCACAAATATAATCTTGACACCCAGAAATTTTTGCACGCTCTCACATTATGACAAACACCTTCTTTAAATAGTGAGATATTGCTTTAATATTGTCTGCCCAATATTCTGCACACTATAAACATTTGATTTCAGTGGAAGTAAGAATTCGATTCTGTGAAAATTGAGAAGATTCGTAAATTCGCGTTACTTTACGACACGACCCCGATACGAGGGGTTAAATCGTTTAATTTATTTCACACGTAACGTTCACGGTCAAGGCTAAAAGTACCACACAAGTGCGACTTTGCCACGAGCTCGAACCCTTTTCCGCTTTCGTTTTGCGCCGCGGGACAAAAGGCATTATCGCCGCGTGGCACAGTTTACGCGAGCGAATCACGTAACCGGGGACCCGAGCAGAGCGGATTTCCATGTCAGGAAAAAAAGTAAGATATAAATGAAGAAAAAAAATGTAAAGACAAAGGATGTAGTAAAGAGAGATCAACGAATTCGATAGAACAATGAACAAGAAAAATACTTTAAAGTAAATTTTAATTATTCACAACCAACTTGGAAAATTTTTATTCTATATTTTCGACTTATTTTTACATGTAGAACTACATCCTTTTGGGTTGTACTACCAATTTGGAAACACTCTGTACACATCCTACAATTTTAACATTAAATATCTCATAAACTAATGGCCGTATGCAGCTGAAACAAATATCGTTGACTTCGGAATTCTAAGCTCTATCACTTTGCCGAGGTTTAATTAAAAGCCAGTGTTGTACCTGGGGATGCTCTGCTTGTAAGCCCCGTCGGACACATCGAACAGCGATATATTCGTCGAACCTAACACCAGTTACGTAAGCCCACAGTGTGTATAACAACAAAAGCGATAATTGGCTTCGGTCGTGATTGGTAACTTGCGTCAAAGGATGGAGGGGATCGATTAATCAATTTTGACCCCGAGAAAGATGATTTGACGTGGGGGGGGGGGGGGGGGGGGGGGGGGGGGGGGGGACGATGTCTCTGCGTAAAAAACGTCAGACCAAGGCATTCTTATTTTATCACTGTTAAAACGGGAGATATTAACACTAGAACTACCAAGGATAAACGCATATTAGCTTCCATCGGTGGATAAACGTGAAAAATTTTTGAAAATTTCGAAATTGACTAATTTCTTCGCTTCCATATCGTAATAAAAGGTGCAAAAGATTTGTGAAAATATATTCCCATAACATTTTAATCGTCGTTGTAAGAGTGTATTGATTCTAATGTTAAATACACAGTGGAAAATATTACCATAAAAGAACCTAATGATATTGAAAATGGTTATCGGTGACGGTAATAATAATTTCGAAATTGTTTCATTTGTGGGGGATTCGATGAAGATTTCTAACGATGTTTCTTTGTTACAGCACCAGGGTGATCAAGGCAAACGGACCGGACATCGGTCGCAAGGTGAAGGTGAAAGCGTCCGGAAGGCCCATACCGTCTCCATCGAACTCGAGGCATCGGGAATCGACGAGCATTCCATCATTCGGCAGCCAGCCCAGACTGTCGTCTTCCTCCTACAAGCCAGCCGCTAGTAGTAATCCACCGCCAGCCCGGAATCCACCGGAGAAAAAGGTCTCCGACGTCATGCGCAGGCCATTGAAGTACGTATCCGCTGATATCGATGCTAACTGTGACGTAGCCACCTTAACGTAGGCGTCGAGGCACATCCGATGAAGAATACCGCGAAACGTGTAACGGTACACACGTACACGATACCCGGACCCCGTCGAGAATCGTAATTTTCGATCAGCCTCGCGGTAGGAATGAGGAATTATCGTTGCCAGAGTGATTAACCCCTTGTCGTACTCTGACAAGTATAACTCGTGATCACAATGTCGTGTCAAACATGAATGTCACGAACATGGATGTAGCCAGAGGGGGAGGAAAAAAGTGGCTTTTGCCCCAGCCTAAAAGAAAAAAATCAGATTTTACCCCACCAACCTTCCCATCCAAGTGTTACAAAATTTTGGCGTAATTTTTTATATTGTATTTAAGTATTTGGTATTAACTAACCATTATTCTCTTCTTTGACAGGGAGAGGCTTATTCATCTCCTTGCTTTGAGGCCGTACAAAAAACCTGAACTGTACGATCGCATAAACAGAGGTAACGGAAGAAATTCGAAGTTTAATTATATTGTCAGAACAATATGCATCAGTTTAGCTAAGCCATACTGTTCGCTGTTTTAGAGGGTATAAAGGAACGAGAACGCAGCATCATGACGACGATTCTGAAGCAGGTGGCGTTCATGAGGGACAACACGTACCATTTGCACAGGTATGTGTGGAACGATGTACAGGAAGACTGGCCTTACTACACCGAACAGGAGAAGGCGATGCTGAAGAGGAGGAAACCTCAGAATCTAACTCCTCCTGGTTCCAGTGATGGTGGATCCAGCGGTGAGTCTGACTGTCTACTAACATTTGTCTCGAAATGTTTCATAATTTCTACCAGGTAGCACCATTATAACAGAATATAAGTTAATCCGTATAAACAGAGGATCAAGATATACTAGGGAGCTTCGTCATAAGCACACCCCTAAACAGTATTGTACTTCGTTATAAGCACCCCCAAAATAGTATAGTCTCCAAATGTAACTTTAGACTACCTGCAGAGAATGTATAGAAACAATGATAAAACAAGGGACAGTATTTACTAATTAAATTTTTTTGTGATAACTACAAATGCTACCCTCTACGATACTATGATTCAGAAATAATAATCATATTTACTGTCCACCTGACCAAAAAACTGACCAAGAATCTTCTTATCCAATCATAAACAGAAGCTACCCCTCCCCATCGTCCAAGACCGGTCCGCCCCGAACGGTCCCTTGAACAACGTCTGTTAACGATTCCAGGTAGCGGTCAGTCGCCCAATTCCACTCACCCAGGTTCACCTCCGGCGATCACCGCACCGCCTCCATCTCTCGGCGCGAAACGGCCTGGCTACTACCAGGGTAACGACGGGTTGCCGACGAAGAAGCAGCGTGTGTCGCACTGCAAGAAGCCGGAGCCGAGTTCCACGAGCACCGGGGAGAACGGAAGGACGGCTGGTGGTGGTAGTAGTAACAGTGTTAGTGGAGCTCCCGGCGGTGGTGGAGCCGGTGGTGGTAGTAGTGCTAGTGGCAGTGCTGGTGGTGGTGGCAGTATCGGTGTCGTTCACGGTTGGGACCAGAGGCAGCATCAGCGTGATCGACGTGGCGATTACCGGCCGGAAAGAACAGCGAACAGTGATGTGCTACGTGGTGGTGGTGGTGGTGGTGGTGGTAGCAGTGGATACGGTGGCGGAGGCGGCGGTGGTAAACCGTGCATGACGCCGACCAGTGACAGTGAAGAGAACAGCCGGATCGGTCACCATCGTGGTGACGCCGTCATCGCGAGCGCTGGGACCACCACGTCCATCGGGGGCAACGGCATCGGCAACGGCGGCGGCGGCAGTTCGACCACCAGCCATAATTCTCATAGTAGTGTAGCTCATAGTAGTTCGTCGAGCAGCGGCGGTCGTCATCATCATGGGGCCGGTAAGACGTCAGCAATGGCGGCGTCGACGACGACAACGACAGTCACCGCTGATGGACACCGCGCTGCCATCGCGGCTGTGGATTACGTGGCGCGTTCGAGTGGTGCCGTGACTGACGGTGGTGGTAGTGCTGGTAGTTACAGTGGTAGTTCGAACGGGATGGACAGGAGGGACAGGAGCGACAGGGGGCGAGGCGGCGACCGGGACTCGAAGAAGAGAAACACCGGAAGCTCGAGCAACTCTTACAACGACCTGGCCAGCACCGAGGACAGCACCGTTACCACGTCCACGTGCAGTCTCGATCTGCCAGAGAGTCCTAAATCATCGGAGTACCCGGACTACCTCACGTGAGTGTCTTGCAAGATGATCAGGGGGCTTGTGATTGTTACCCGAACAGAGTTAAGGCTTGGGTTAGGTATGGATGATTAGCGCGACTCGTGGGGCAACCGTGGCCCTTAGAGTGTGAATTAAAAGTATAAAGTTGTATGTAGGGACACTATTCTTGTTATCTTTGCAGTTCACAAATTTAAGATCCCTGGAAAGTTGTCCAATTCGTTGGGTGTATAAGTTGTACATATTGTATCGATGCGTTACGATTTGTCCACAGGTACTACACGACAATAAGCAGCTCGGAACAGAGAAAACGTTACAAGGCGGAATTCAATGCTGATTACGAAGAGTATCGAAGGTTGCACACTCAGGTAGCGAAGGTATCGAAACGGTTTACTCACCTTCAGGAACGGTTGAAACAAGAAGAGGCCAATGGGAACTGGGACGAATATCAGGTAGTGTATCCCTTTCGAATAACAACTTTCCTCTTTTTTAGAGAACTATTATCAGAGTATGACTTTTGTTCAACGTAAAAAGAGTACCAAACAGTCAAAAAGCTCATAGCTCGAATTCCACGTAAAGGAAGATATTATTAAGAAAACACACTATTTCCAATTATACCAAAGATCGTCAGACAGTGTATTTAATAGTTCTTTTTGATTGTTGTCGTTTCCAGGAAATAAGGCGGCAGATTCTCTACGAGTATAACGAAACGAAACGGGACCCTGTACATAAGGAAACGAAACGTCGATTCCACTATCTGCACGAGAAACTCAGCCACATCAAGCGGCTGGTACTCGAGTACGACACGCAGAACTGCGGCGGCAGCATGATGACCACGTCCAGCGCGAGCGCCGATGGTAGCAACGAACTTAAGGAAATGGACAGTTTGCACTACTGACACAAACTGAAAAGGCCGCCTCTTATCCTCTACCTTATCTCGGTTGTCGATACGCTGCTGTCTCCGTTGTCGCAGAATTTGCATTTTCTCGGCATGTTCCAAGGCTGATCTAAACGGTCCACATGGTTCCTGGGTTCTATCGCCGAATGAGAATAAACAAACAAACAAACAAAAAAAAAGAAAGAAGAAAATAACTGAACCAGTCAAGTACTCTGAGCCGGGGTTGCAAGATGTTCACGACACATCACAGGGAAGATGAAGAAGACGAAGAAGGGGAGAAAGAAACCTTCATGGTGTGAGTCAAACGTGCGCGTGCGCGGAGGTCGAAGATTTCTTTGTAATTGTGACTAACCGCGACCAGTGTGATATCTTCGACTTGCGCCGTCCGTGCGGTGTGTCACCGCCGTCGAGCCTACACGCTCCTCGCGCCGCACACGTTTGACCAATGGGTTAACCACCGATGAAGGCTTTTCACGACAATCGGGTACGTTTGCAGAAACAAACAAAACAAAAAAAAAGAAAACAAACGAGAACGAATTAAAGCAGATAGAGGGAGGAAACGAAAAAAAAAATAAAACGAGAAAGTCCATCCGCATAAAGAGAAAGAAAACGAGATAAAAAAAAAAGGGCATTCGCGAAGGCGTCAGATGTATTGAAATTCGCGCGAGCCGAAAGTGTACGCGCGCACGCAGCCTGCCGTGTCGTATGTATATGTGTGTGCGTGTGTGTGCGTGTGTGTGCGTTTCCACGAAGCTGTCCTCCGACGATAATAGGAATAGAGAAAACGATTAACTAGGGGGAAGAAACGCGAAGAAGGAAGGCGAAGGGAGGGGTTAAGGGGCGGGAGCAAGTAATTGACTCTACAAATAAGTTACTTACCGTGCGCACGTCCAAGTGTGTCGTCCAAGTTTAAGAGTACCGTAGAATTAAAGAAGATTAGAAGAAACAAACGAAAAAAAAAAACAGAAACAAAGAAAAATGCGAATGCGAGAAGAGGGTCCAAAAAAAAAAAGGTAGTACAGGCTTATCATGTGCCACATGTCCGGAAGAGACTATACTACTCTTTTTCCGCAGAAGGAAAAAAGGGAGAGACGAGCACACACAGACTGTCCACGAGCCGGCGCGTGGGGATCCGCGCGTGGATTCGGCCGCTCGCCGTTTTTCTTTCCTTTTATTTCTCTCTTCTCCCCGTTGTCCTCCGTCGCGACACTCGAGCGAAACGGGGGACGGTAAACGAATAGCTTTCGGTAAGAGAGAGAGACCTTTGTACTATTTCGCGAATGTGAAACGGGGATGGTCCTTTGTTACTTCTTCGTTGTTTGGTTTCTTCGCCGTGGGAACCGCGTGCGCGCGCCTGCTCATTCGCATCGACGGTCATCGAGAGCCTATTTCGACTCGGTAGTCAGACGCGAATGGGCAACGCGAAATGATCGAAAACGATCTAGTGCGCGTACGACAAACCATCGGGATATACGAGAAGAACGAACAATGTTATTGTACTCTGTTTAGCATTACCTGCCATAAAGTGATATATGACCGAGCAAAATCAACGGATCGCGGTCGGTCGAGAGCCTACCCCGATTTAGTAGTAGTCGCGCGGCTCAGACTGTTGGTCGGAATTTGTCGGAAGATTGAACGCGATCGATCGTTAGTGATTCCGGTTGTGTATATCGTAAAACGCTAGGGTAGACCCATTTTTTACTGTTTCGAGAAAGCATTAGTCATTCGAAAGGGAGAATGCTCAGCGGGCCATCGTCATCGATTTTACATCCGCGGCAAACGTGAAAATGTTAAAAAGAAAAAAAAAAGGAGGTGAAAGATATGTGAAGAAAATGGTAGAAAGTGAGGAGAAGAAGACGATGCGAAACCGGAGATGTTATAAGACAGGTTTCATTAGTAATTAAATAAATCGTCGTCGGCGATAACATTATAGTTATACATTGTACAGGTGCGCCGACTGTTCTTCGCGTGCAAGTAATACCTTTCTTCGTGTAATTATTATTATGACGATGAATACTATTAATATTATTATCAACCGCTATTGCTATTATATTATTGTTCGGATATGTAGGTAGGATAGGTAACAAGCGAGAGCTGCGTTTAGGACCTAGAACTCGCATGGAACGAAGGAAGAGAAACTATGTTAGGTATATACAGGGTGACTCGTAATTAGGTATCAGAAATTCAAAGGGGTGACAGACCGGAACATAGAATGAGAAGAATGTTTTATACGTGTATAGATCGTTCGGGATTTTATCTTTTTTAAATCGTAATCGGGTGAAGACGCGTTAAAGGTGTATGTTACTTCACGAACGAAATCTGATTGCGAAAGTTACTTGATAAGAAATTGTTTAATTTATTTTCTATTATAGATCAGATATAATGCTCTGTTTTAAATAATCAGGGGATCGCACATTTTTGAAAGCTCCGAATGTGGTGCATAGATATGTTAGGGTATTTGATTCATTCCATCGAATGTTCCACAATGTTGATCCCCTGATTATCCCAAGGCGGTACATTATAGAAAAAAAAAAACCTGCGCTCTGCAAAACGAAGCCCAGGTATGTTTCACGTGACAGTTCATCTCTCACTTTGTGTTCTAGATTTTTTAATCTCTGCTCCACTGACGTCCGATTAAGGAATCACCCTGTAGAGCCAATGTTTTCCATTGAATGTGTAACGAAAGTTTATAACGTTGATGTTTCTGATATGCCTTTTGAATCTTTTTTGCTATATATAATGATTTGAATATCGTTTTTATATATATTACGAACATAGGTCGACTTTTGAACCGATAACTTTGTACGAGCGTCTGTTCATTTTTGTTTTTTTTTTTTGTTTTATTCTCGCTGGGTTCTTCTTGATTTCCGGGTTTACTCGTCGACGTTGCCTTCTTGATCCGTATATACGATAACTCGCGCGTGCGCGAAAGTGTCTTTCATCGTTGTGCCCCGTTTCTTTTTTTTTTTTTTATTTTGTTTTTGTTTCACATTCAATAAGCATTTGCACTTGGCACGAAGCGTGTATATTTGTGATAGGTTTTTGGAGACGAGAAACGACGAATGAAAGCAACTCGGTTCGCGTTGGTCCGATGTACAGGGTGTCTCATGAAACGTCCTCGGTGGTTCGCGAGTACTTGGTGTAGAAAAGTGACTTAACAAAAAAAAAAAAAAGAAACAAAATATCTTAATATACACGTTTATCGTTATTTGATCGGTTCTGCATGTTACGGCCTTTCTTTTTAAGTAACGAACTAAAAAATAAACCATTGTAGATATTACATTTAGGAATTGTACAAATCAATTAGAGCGAATCCAACGGATCGTTCGAAGGTTAAATTCTCTCACCGAGTGAGGAATAAAATGGAGGTTGGGCGGACTGGCCAAACAATAATGGCAGAGGTGGGTGCCTCCCGTTGACTTCGAACGAAACGTCTTATTTTGTTTGAATTATTAGTGTACTGCGTAAGAAATTTTATTCAGACTTGGAGATTTAAGTCGCATTAAATGTTTACTCGAACTCTCTTGATTATTGTTGCTGCAACCTATTGAACCCGTGCTCGTCCTTCGTGAAACACCCTGTATGGCCGCATGCATATATCGTCATTCGGAGTCGAAGCAGACAACGTATATAAGGCGGTTAAAAAGAAAGAAAAAAACAAAGCGTTTTGGCATGCTCGCGAATGGATTCCGGTGAAAACGATAACCGTTCTCCGAACGCGTTTCCCATTCTTTTAATTAACAAGAGTACTAATCACCTAATCCGTGTAATCCACGATACCAGCGCGTCCACGATTATTGATCGATGAAGGATTTTTACACTCTTAACGATATTCGATCGTTGGAAAGGATAACCTTCTCCGACATTGAATTTCACTCCGGTGAACACGAGACAGGACAAACATAAAGAAAAAAAAAAACAACACGAAATCGATAAAAGTGATTCTTTAATTTAGTTTGTGAAACGTTAATATTGTTCTTGTCTTTATGTGTACTTCTTTTTAACGGAGCTCGTAGAATTTGGATCCGAATGGCGTCCGTTTTCTAACGATTCCAATGGTACGTTTGACCAAATCGCCAGGTGACGATGAGTCACCGATGATCGAGAATCGGTTGTACCAGGTGTGCTCACTGTTATGTTTTTTTTTGCTGAGATTTTATCGTGCACCGTTATGCCGCGCTCTTTCTCTGTTCCCACTTTTATTCCAGCCACCATCTCGTTTTATTTATAAACGAAGAGAATAAGAAACGTAAAACTATACATATTGTATTCTCGGTTATGCAACGTATACTCGCGGGACGACCTATCGGAACGGAGACGTGTTTCGTTTGCTTGATCGAGCGCCGTGATGATTCAATGCTTGTTGCGTCATAAAAGACACAACGTACATAGTCCCTTTATTAAACGAAAACAGGAACCATAACAGTTTGAAATTTTAAGTTCGACGATGATCGGGAATTTAGTTCTATTAGCACTTAAGTCGGTAGTCGTTTAATTTATTATTTTATTCCTTATTTTCGTAAAAGCAAAAGTGAAAATGAAAAAAAATTAATTTTTCTTTGTCTCTGATATCTAGATCGCTTCTCTCTCTCTCTCTCTCTCTCTCTCTCTCTCTCTCTCTCTCTCTCTCTCTCTCTCTGTATCTTTATTTATCTCTGTTTCTCTGTGCAATGTATTTTGTTCTGTACGTTTCCCTTTTGTCTTGCAATTAATGTTAAAAACGTATCGTTGAGAGGACCTTGCGCGTATTATTTCCGACACGTTGAAGTTGCATGTTCCAACGGGCCGTACCGATAAAACCCGGGAATTCGTCGCGTCTCCACGCATGGTCACGGAGAAAAATAAAAATGGATAACCGAGCGCTTCTGGAATGCATGGCACAGTGTTGACAATTAGTTCGCCACCGATTGAGTTCTGCAAACGGAAACGGTTGCGAGCAAACGCGAGAAACACACCGGAAAAATAAACATCAGGATCTTAAATGCTTACCTATTTTTATATATTATAAATAAATATATGTAAATATATGTATATATATTTATTTATAATACATATATTAACGAATTATCGAAGTCTATCGTGTGTGTGTTCATAGGTAAATCCAGGATTGTAAAATCGATACGTCGGAATACATGGGTTGTAATTAAAGAGGTACAGGAATTGGTTAATATATTTCGTTGTTATGAATCGGACTACGCTCCGATTTGTAGATAATATTAATATAGGTATCTTATTTTTTTTGCTCACTTTTTCCTTGCATTTACAAGCAATTACAAAAAAAAAAAAAAAAAAAAAAAAAAAAGAAGTATGTAATAAAAATTATGAAATCTTAATTTATGCGTTTCCTTTTATTCTCATTCATTATACTCACCGCACTTTTCTTTTGTTTTTCTTATTTGTAGCCGAACGCGGGCGAATGTCGGAGGAACGAATACGGGAAATGCAAAAGGAAAGCAAAGACGTTGAATAAAATTGATCGGTGACCTTTTATTTATTATCGAATGGAAAAGGGACGGAAAATCGTGGGAGTACTTCGACGAAACAGGGATTTTCAGTGATTCGTTTTCAACACTGTCATACTGTGCCATACATATCCACTTCGGTGCACGATGGTTCAGTAAAAAAAAAAAAAAAAAGAGAATAAAACGACGGAAGATCTAGATTCCGGTCCAGGAATCCGATCGACCAATTTTTTCTCTATTCGCTTCACAAGAGTGAGATTCCCCTTTGCCACCTTTGTACTCCGTTCTCGTGTTAACTCAGCACTGCTCGTCGACCAATAACCGACGACCATTTTGCAAATATGTTTAACTTTCAAAGCAACGAGTTCGATTGCAATTTAGAAAAATATCGTGACAGGATAGTTTTAGAAACGATAGATCAGTATATAATTTCATTAAACGTTCATTTATATTTTTCAAATGTGGCCCTTCATTCAACGTCGAATGGACGTCGAGTTGAGGGGTCATTTCTTCGATATTCCATTTAGAAGAATAATTGCTCGATGGATTTGATAGGTTAGTAATAATAATCGTGTACTGATCAACAAAACGATATCTATAGTTTTCTTTTTCTCGAAAATAATTCCAACTCTAATAGACTAGCCATCTTACCCACCTGACTTAACTCAAAATATCTTAAAACAAACGAAATTTGATGTTGTAGCTGACCAAAATACGA